AGTCTGAGTGCCCAAAAAGCAAAGAGAATTTTGCTCATTCTAACTTTACTTTCCACTGCTAGCTACCAAAAAAAAACACGAATCTTCCATATCATTTTCTTTTTGGTAAAAAATATGTCTTTTTGTTTTGTCAACTTAGTAAATATAGATTATAGATTGAAATAGTTGAGAGTTTTATGCGTTTGTATTTCTATATTTTTTAAATATTACTATGTTTTGTTTGGGTAGCCTTCTTAAAAGAACCAATAAGTTTTATGTGAACAAATCTACAAACCAATTCAATAAAGAGTGTAATATAACTCCAATGTGCCAAAAATCATCAAGAGAAGTCACCAATGAACATAGGCTAAATTGCGTTCACCAATAAAATCTTAGAAGCGTCATCTATTTGGAAACGTTTTTGGTCGTAGGAGTCTAAATAGTAATCTTTGGTTTGGTCTAATAAAAATTCAATGGTCCTAGAAAGTAGAAAGTCCCAAGAAGAAGAATATGAATATTCATTCACCAATAGAAGTAGTTAGATCAGGAGAATTAAGATTGTGAACATCAACCAAATTTATTTAGTTATACGGTTAATGTTTTTTGTTGATAGATCTCTCGGTACGTACCACACTTTTGAAAACTCTTAATAACGTATATTTACAAATTATGATGTTTTATAGTTTATACTATTGTATTGGATGACTTAAAATATGCATAGTGGAGGGTATAAGTTTATAGTAAGATGATAAAAACAGTGACACTGACCGTAAACATTGTATCGCTCATTGTCAACAATTATATACCGTAAATAGTGTATCGTCCAAACTTCACGTCACATGTATATATACACCATGAACGTCATGCAACGCAATGTGCAATTTACTATTTCATCAGGGATAGCTCTTTTCTCTTTTCTGAAAATTTTTATCGGCTGATTTGGTTAGTCCTGGTAAAAACGCATCAAAATATTTTAGAATATATTTTATTTGGTAGAAACGCATTAAAATATTTCAAAGTTAACCTCTTTCGGAAGAGCCACCATACTGTCTATTCGAAGTTTAAAATGATTTCCAACTATAATAAAGAATAGTCAAACCGTTTGTATTTTTAATTATCAAGTAAAACAATTAAACATTTGCCCAATTGACAGATTCTCCGCACAACAATAATTTTTGTTTTGAGTATGAATCGAATTTGGATTAGTTCCTTACAACATTTTCCCGATTCTCTCTTACTGCTGAACCACGACTATGCAGACGTCACGAATAGTCTTTTATCATCTCCTATTCCAACCAATATAACATTCCCAAATCTGTAATTTCCAACAAAACTACATCTCCTAATGAGTTCAAGATTTCACTTAATAAGACAAAACCAAAAAAGAGATACTATGCAAAGGGAAGGGCTTGCCACGTGCGGAACACATGCACGTGTCTACGATAGCAAAAATTTTAATTGGTTGGATTACAATACGAATTGGTAATGATTGATGAATATTATTTATAGCACCGATTGCTCCACTTAAGAGGTAGTAGTACTCTCGACTTCATCACTTATCACTTTTGATTCAATCATTCTCCTTCGTCCTTTTTGACCATCCCAATTACTCTTAACACATGATCTATACAACACAAGATTGCCAATGCAATGCACACTTCTACTTTTACTATATCTTACGTGAACTACAATAGTAGTAGATAACTAGTGCTAAGACTCTTTCCCAAATCTAGTGCTAAGACTCTTTCCAAAATCTCACACAAATTCTTTTTGACCTATGGACGAATATGCAAGCATACGTCTACGCTTAGGTTATCTAGAGATATGCTTACTTAAGTTAACACATTAGTAGGTCATAAAAACAAAAATAGCATACTAATTTGTTGATTTTGGTTTTGAAGTGTTTAGTTATTTTTGCTAAATCATGATGTTTTCTAAGTTTACCTGAGACATGAATTTGCAAAGAGAAAAGTACGAAAAAATGTGTATATGGGTGGGTTTGTTAGTGTCAAACGTGATATGATTACCCCCACGCACCATCTCTAGATGGAATGACACTTGTCCTTTCACTTTTTCCATTTAACATGATTGTATTTTGTCATTGTATACTAGCTTTTTGTTAATTTGTAACCAACATTTAATTTCATTTTTCAAAAGATTTCTGAATTATATACCCTACTCTGTAAAACATCGTTATTTCCGACAAGACTCCACATTCCTAGAGGTATTTAGGACGAGTCAAATATTTAAAAAAAAAAAGAAAAAAGTTATGTCCGTTCATTATAAGTAGGAAAAAAAATCGGATAAAAACTATATATTGTTAAACGTTTAATATAGTACTCCAACTTTGTAGTATACAGTATAAAGTTATACATTTAACAAACAAAAAATATGAAAATAAATATAAATATTCAAATCTTGACCACTACTTAATCAAAAAAATTTGATGAATATATTTTGTTTTTAATATAAATATATATTACGGAAATTTGAATTTTACAATATAGTACAATTATATTACCGTGGTCTTATGGTAATGCACAAGTCTTGTAAATTATCAAACTTGGGTGTGAATCTTCATCTTCTACTTATTACTTTTTTTAATTCTTTCAAATCTATTTTAACTATATAAAATCTTAGCCACCAGATAATTTCATCAATAATTAGTTTGGGAATTATAGAGAAAATATGAAATTTACTTTACCTTGTTTGTTGTTTTAGTATTGCTCCTCACCATGGGTTAAATTAGTACAATCCTAGATGATTGCTTTCGTGAACTAAAATAAAGAAATGTCTGTTAGATCTATGGGAAGGCGAAGAAATGGAAGAAGATAATGGAGAAAATCCTTAGGTGGAATTAAACACACAAAACTCACCGTTTACCACTATATTACATCAATACATTAGTTGTATTTTATAAAACGATTGTAATTGGTTAAAATATGTAGGATAAAAACTTAACACGGTAAATGATTTTATAACGACTATTAACTTACAAATCCACCAAAATTTCTAAAATCAAAAATTTCTTATGAAAAAATAAATTAACGAGATAATTTTATACAATTTTAAACATTGTAGTTGAATTAATGATCTAAATACATTTATTTAATTAAGATACAACCAATTTTATAAAAAAAATTATACAATGTTTTTCTTTTTTAAAGTCCACAAATATCATATATTCTCTCATATAATTTTATAATAAATTGGTCTCTAATTTAAATCCATATAGAAGAAACTCCACACTTTTAAATGGCCGTCACTAGTCTACCACAGCTCAGTTGTTGAGAAGGCATATGCATTTCAAGTTTTCAACTAAAATAAACTAATCCACAAGATCGCAATATCACCAGGTCTAACCAGCCAAATTGGGGGAAAAACATTGTTTAAAATATGTTCATTTAAAAAAAAAGATAGATTTTGTATATATTTCATTAGTAAAATACTCATCTCACTTGGGAAATTGAAGTTCTGCAGTTCCCAATGTACAAGAGAATAACAATACAATACACTGATCTAAAGTGGAATGGGTCATAGGACGCTTGACATTACCAAACCAAACCATACTTTTGTATTTCTAATTAATATCAAATAAACACAAACTTCATACTAATACTTTTATGATTATCAAAATAAACCATGATAACAATACTAGTGCATTATACTAATATTTATAGCCTTTTTCTTTTCCACATATATAAATAAAAGTCTGTCCTGGCTCATTATAAACTAACCACTAATTTAGGCAAAATCCGTATCTTAACAAAAAAGTAATGAAAGCAATTTCGAGTATTGGGATTGGAAGATACCTTTTTTCACTTATTTCATTCTTCTTCTCATTTCCTCTATAAATAAAGTTGTTGAGACTTGAGAGCCACCGAAAAGCATTTAGACATCCTATCATTAAAGCTAACTTTTTCTTTGAGTGTTTTTTATTTCTAAATTATAAATTCTTGAAAAATAAAGAAATAAAGAGAGAAAATTATTGTCCCTACAGCCTTGTAGAATCAAAGATTGTCAAGCTTAAATCACATGCATTTGTTAAAATTTGATCCACAAACAAAACATTTTCAATTCTTTATTCTGTAAAAGCAAAACCTATTGGCTCGTAGGTCAATGTCAATCTCAATGAATAGAGAATTCTTTTGATATCATGTATTTGTAACATACTAGCATTATTTTTAGTGGTTCATATGCACATTCATCAACATTCCCCCTAAATTATAGGAGCTCAAGATAGACTACAACTAGTCAAAAAAATTACTCCTTATTCTTTTACCAAAAATGTTTACTCCTTATTGGTTATAGATTGACATTTTTGAGTTTTCATATATGTTAAACAATAATTAACGTTTAATCATAGATTTAATATCACACAAAACACTTTTTTATATTTACAATCCAATAACAATTCAGTAGATTTAGTTTTTCAATTAATATTTTGTGGAGTTTACCAAGAAAAAAGGTTAAACATCACTTTGTGAAATAAGAAAAGATGTTTAAAACAGAGAGAAAATTAGAAGATATAAAACGGTATTGGTGTTTCTATAAAACATAATTAAGTTCAGCTTTGGTAGTGGTAGAATATATATTACGTATAGTTCGGAATAGTGTTCCATGCAGACATGAACACATCACACGTACGCATGTATTATGTGTATGTAAACACACGTATGCATATCTATATCCACACAATGAGATTTTCACTTTCTCTATAGAAAAGAAAAGAAAAAAACAGAGATCACTATCTTCGATTAGTTTCAAAATTTGGTCTCGACCCTATTACTTTAATTTACGAGTTAATTTATTTACAATAATTCAATAAAGACAAAGAGATTTTAAATGATAAAAGTCAACCATATCCCATCATTTGGTCTTTGGTTTCCCGACGTTCCACTTTTGTAAAAAATCATCTGTTCATTTTTCCTTTTTTCCCTCTACCCAACTGGATATCACCAATTACATAATCATATACACTAACACTTACCATTTCACACTTCTCTTCTCTTCTATATATACACATAAGCTTTAAGTCTTGTAACGAGTAAGGCATAACATTTTTGGCATTTGCTAGTTAACTAAAACATATAATAGCTAGCGCATGCAATGAAGGTTCATGAGTTTTCTAATGGCTTTTCTTCTTCTTGGGATCAACATGACTCAACATCATCTCTTAGCCTAAGCTGCAAGCGGCTAAGGCCTCTCGCGCCGAAGCTTTCGGCCGGGAGCCCTCCTTCCCCTCCTTCTTCTTCCTCCGGAGTCACTTCCGCAACTTTTGATCTCAAAAGCTTCATTAGACCAGATCAAACTGGTCCAACCAAAAATGAACACAAACGAGACCCTCCTCAAGTAAGTTCCATTATTGTCCATTACAAATTTGTTGGAGTAAAAAAATAAACAAAGTAACGTAAATTTCACTCAAGAAGAATGCGTAATTGCGTCATACCTAATACTTTGACATTTACAATGACTGGAGTGGTTCACTTTTATTAATTTTTTTATTTTAATGCATATGATTCCTTAAAAAAAATGCAATGAAATAATTTTGTGGGTTCAGTTGGAGACGCACCCGGGAGGGACAAGGTGGAACCCGACTCAAGAACAGATAGGGATACTTGAGATGTTGTACAAAGGTGGAATGCGTACTCCAAATGCTCAACAGATCGAGCATATAACCTCGCAACTCGGTAAGTACGGGAAAATCGAAGGGAAGAATGTTTTCTACTGGTTCCAGAACCACAAAGCCCGGGAGAGACAGAAGCAGAAGAGGAACAATCTTATCAGCCTAAGTTGCCAAAGCAGCTTCACGACCACTAGTGTCTCTAACCCGAGTGTAACAACAAAGATAAGAACATCATCGTCACTAGACATCAGGGTATGTCTTAATGTCTTAATGAATGGTTTTGTATAGTTTTTTAATCAACTATTTCTAAGGATACTTTTTATGATTGTGAAGAGAGATTCAATGGTGGAGAAGCAGGAGTTAGTGGAAGAGAATGAGTACAAGAGGACATGTAGGAGCTGGGGATTTGAGAACTTGGAGATAGAGGGAAGAAGAAACAAAAATAATAGTACTATGTCAACTACTTTTCATAAAATCATTGACAATGTAACCCTCGAGCTGTTCCCATTGCACCCTGAAGGTAGATGAGGATGATCATGCAGAAGATTGTGGAATTCTTATGTAGATCTGGTTTAGGTTGAGAGGAAGCAAGATTGGTATCTAGAAAAATTCTAAAGAAAAATAAACATAATAATAAGTTTCTAAAACTACAAAATCTACTTAAGAATTCCCTTATTAATCTGCGAGTCTGATGTATCATTGTAGATTTTTTTCTGATTTAATCTTAATGATGAATGCTTAGTTTAGCTCCATTTATTTTCGTCTTTTGTTCTTGACTTATTCACTCGTGACTCGTGATTAGTTGTTTTCCCTTTTGATTTATAAAATTTTCTAAATAAAGACACATTTAATGTTGTTAAAAAAAGACACATCTCTATCCTACGTACGTTCGTATGAGAGTAGTAATAATAGCATTTCCAATATATATATAAGTTATTACACCTAGTATATTTCTATAATTAAACTTTGAAATCTACAAACTTTTTCTATACTCTTATACTTAACATATATATATAATAATGTATCTTTCCCAAAACAAAAACAAAGACCATATACAAGTGTAAATTCAATAAATTTCATATTAAGAAATTTTATATTTCATGAATATACATATATGTATGTCAAAGTTGAAGAGATGGTCACAAGAATTTGATATTTCCGATGGACATGGACATATATGTAAGCGGTGGTGTGTATGTTGGTTAGTTGTTTGTCTGATGCTTTATTGACTCTCTCTCTCTCGCAAGTGGTGTTTTAATTTGTTTTTGTATTTTGGTTGAAACAAAGATAGAGAAGTTTTTGCTTTTTAGGTTAAAAGTTAAAATTGCATTATATGAATGTGAGAGACACACTCACTGAAGTCCATGCACTCGCTTTCTCTCTACATTGCATGCTAGCTAGCTGTTTTCTTTACTTACGCACATATATTCTATATTTCCACCACTAAATTATTGTACGTGACACTGATTTTTTCTTCTTCCATTTTTGAATATTAATCATACAATTAATTACCTTATAAACTACATAAAGATAATTAGATATATATAGAAATGTATGTATGGATGATTTCAATTTCTTTCATGATGTTTCGAGTAATTAGGGGGAGTTATTAGATTATTGATTTTGATGGATTTGGAAATCCAAACAAAAATCATATGTTATTCAATATTCATTGATTTTAAAATAATTATCAAAATCATGTATTATTGGTTGTATGATTTATAAATACTAGTTAAAATCTTATGTTTTCGTGTAGTGATTCGTGTTTGGATTTTAAAATCCGCATTATGTTTTAAATGGATTTGAAAGGATTTTATAGTGTAAAATAGAAGGATTCAAATCCAAGGATAAAACATGTTATTTCAAAATCCATGTATTTTGATTTCATAAATAATAAGGATTCACAAGGTCTATATGGATTTACAAATCAATGATCCAATAACTCCCCTTAGTTTTTCCTCAACTTTTCATGCAAGATTAAATAGTAAATTTCTATATACGGTAATTTCAAATAAACCCGTAAAACTTAATATAAATTGTTTAAATAATTATTTTTGACATCACACATTCTCAATATGATCGATTTAATCATGCATCAAAGAAAAATTTCTAATTTTTACATTTTACGAAAAATATATATGAAATTTGAATAGAATACAGTATAAAGTTAGGAGTAGAATAAATGTGTTAGTCAGTTATTCATTCTAAGATTTGAATACATTATACATAACCTTATTTTGTTTCTAATAAGTTTGTTGTATTACATCATCGATTGAGATAATATTGATCACTAACATGATCTTCGTACAATAAAAGTATATGTACGTATATGCACTACATTTTATATGTAACACATTTTGCTGATATGTACGTAAATAACGAAATGTTTTATTTTTGTTTAGATTATGATTTCTAGTTTAAGCAAATCACATTTCCAGCTGAGCCTATCTTTAATAATCAAAATACCTTAATATTTTATAAGTCTATATCTTTACCGGTAATCATATTCTCAAATGATTATTTTGCCATGCATTATGAATTGGTGCCCGTGGGCGTGGGGCATGGCGTTCCATTAGTTATAAATCTTGGAGGGAACCAAGATTGAAATTTACAAAATAAAGAACTTTATTCATTTGGTCATGGGATTGGGACCATGAACATTTTTTTTTAAATAATAATTCAATGTCTCTTCGGTTTTCACGTGTACATAAATAAGTCCAAAATATAAATTCAAACAGCAAATAGTATTAGGCCTATGAAAACCAGTATCGGCCATCAGGCCAGACCAGTCAGCTGGCTGCATGCATGTGAGAGTAAGCAAAAATGGTCTTCGTGGGCTCATGACCACAATGAGATATATCAATCTTTTTTTTGGTCAGATTCCACTGGACCATGATCGACGGTGAGACTGAAACTGAGATATGTTATGGCTTCGGAATATAGGTACGAAGAACTTTAGGTTAGTGGAGTCGGAATATAAGTCTTTATGTTATTATAGACGAAAGGGTATTGGATGGACAGAGGATGAGCACAGGTGATCTTTCTTTATTTATGCTGCTAATCGGTTTCTGCTTCTTCTCAATATATGTTTTATATGTTTATTCTGTGCTCCATTGTCTTCATTGTGTTCTAGAACATTGAAATTATTTTTCTAAAGTGACAATATTAGGTACTACTATTGTGTTGGGTGTCTAATTTTGTGTACCTTTGAGTAGTCAATAGTTTTCAGAGTCATACTGTACTTAGAAGCAAGACTTTCACTGGAAACTTTAGGTTCTTGGTCTCCTCTATCTGAGACTAGCCTTACCACTAGCATATAATATAAAGACTTATATTCCGAAGCCATAACATATCTCAGTTTCAGTCTCACCATGAGCCCAAAAACATATCATAACTTACCATGAGCCCAAAAACATATCAAAACATTAGGTAAGTGGAGTCGAACTTCGAGTCCAGCAACAGCCTTACCACTAGCATGAGACTTACCACTATTTAAGGAGTTTTTCTTTACTTTTGTAAGATTGGGTGACATAGTTTGTTCATTGTGTTTTTGATTCTAAAAGATTTGAACCTTGGCACAAGCAAATAATTACTGTTGTACTTGTGGGGAAAAATACTGAAGTATTGTTCATCGGGAAAAAAGCCGAAAAAAACGCCATCTATTTTTTATTTGGACGTTTAATACCCTGTCTTTTTTATTGGAATAAATATACCTCGTTTATTTAACGTTGTCTTAAGAAATATTCGGCTTCTACTGGTAACCATTAGAGGAACAAAAGCAAAAAGAACAAAAAGAACAATACGGAACGGAATAAACAACTTTTGAGGAATGAAAGGAAAACATGCAGAGAAGAACAAAATAATAAATGGTAACCAAACAATAACACTATCTTTTATAATATATTTGATTAAATAAATCAACTTTTAATAATAATACTAGATATAATTTATATATAATGAATTTGACACTAATTTTAAAATATATTTTTGAATGAATTTAAATATTTAATGTTAAAAATTAATAATTTATATTAACCTATTATAGATTATAGTAATTTTTTATTTGTTATCTATGATATAAACATCTCTTAAATATGTTTTACTATCCATACAAATTTTAAATAATGTATAGTAAGATTTTTTAACATGAAATTCATATCAAAAATATTTTTTAATGTCAATACATGATAAAAATATGAAAAATATTATATTATGAGATTAAAATATTATTAATAAATAATTTTTTATTTATTTTAAAATAAAAAACGAATTTTAATATTTGTTTTTTTTTGTTCCATTTGTTCCTCATCAATTTTGGGGAGGAACATTTTTGTTCTATTGTTCCTCATTTTGTGAGGAATATAGAGGAATGATGTGGAAAAATGATTTCTTGTAAATGGTAAAAAAATTGAGGAATGAAGAGGAATGTCACATTCCTTCTCATTTTTTTCCTAAATCATGGTTACCAATCGAGGCCTTCGTTTATATATTCGTTAGTAGATTCCTACTTTACAGTTAACAGCTGTTTACTTGGGTGATGGAATTATTTAACGGGGTTAGATTTTAACTCCACGTGTTCTGATGATATATATCACTCGGTTACAGAAATGTACGAAAGAATTGCTGTGGCCTGGTGGTCACATGTCTCCTTTTGTAGTCACCGTTTACAGTTCGATTCTCTCCAAATTTTTTTTTTTTCTTCATCTTTTTCTCCATTGTTGCGAACGATTTTTTTAACAGTTGACCGAAGTTTTCTCTAGAGCTGAAATCCTCAAAATGACCAGGATTCAATTGCTGACAAAATCCGAATTATGTCGATCTAGATCTGGATCTGGATTTATGAGAGTGAGATATGTCGATCTGGATCTACGACAAAAAATTTTAAAATCAACATTCCCGAAAGATAGGAATCAAAATCTGTGGCTTAGGTTTCTAACTAGACAAATTAAATGAATCCGCATGAAGCTTGGCACCACAAAAGTTACTAGAAATGTTTTTTCTGGTATACAGCGAGAGAAAGCCATTAGAGAGAAGCTCAACGGAGAAGAAGAAGAAGAAGAAAAAAAAAAAATTAGGATGTTTATCGAACCCAATACCAGCAAGCGCCTAAATTAAATATCTTACCACCATGCCTCAGCAATTCTTACGTACATCTTTGTAATCAAGTCATATATATCATTTAAACACGTGGAATTAAAATCTAACCCCGTTAAATGATTCCGTCACTCGAGTAAACAGCTGTTAACTGTAAGATAGGAATCTACTAAAGAGTATATTAACGAATATTTTTTAAGACAACGTTAAATAAACAAGGTATATTTATTCCAAAAAAAAGACGAGGTATTAAACGTCCAAATAAAAAATATATGGCGTATTTTTCGGCTTTTTTCCCATTGTTCATCTTCTAAGGGGAATTTTTACATGTTACGTAAGATATGTTATGGCTCGGAATATAGGTACGATGATCCAAAACAAAACAAAATTTACTTAAATTAAGAGAAAATATATTATAAAACTTTGCTAAAAATACGGAAAAATGGAAAAATTATATTCACTAGTTTGAGATTGTAACAACCCGCTCCGTGGGACCCCTTGCCACAAGCCGGTCACTGCTGGCGCTGCAGCGCATCGACCCTAACTTCTCTCATGTGGGTCTAATCTAGTTCGCAGGTCCTACAGGACAATTGGTAACAACTTGTCATGTGGGAAGGCTGTTAAAGGGTGTCATGGGTTCGAGGAACGTCAAACGCACCAATAACCTACATGGTGGGTCAAGAGTGCCTGCGGGGTAGATTGGGTCCACAGG